GGCGCCGCCGCCAGGGGGAGCAGGGCGCGGCCGGGCGAGGGCCGCTGGGCGTCGGGTTCCTGAAGGCCGGAGGGCCCGGCGGCCGGGCGGCGAGGACCGAGCGCCGAGCTCCCGAGGAGCCAGCCGCCAGACAGTCCCCCTCCGGGCGCTCGGCGTCTCAGACGGTGGGCAGAGGCCCACGGGCAGGGCTTGGATGTACTGGACAGGCCCGCTGGGAAGGAGCCACGTCGTAGAGAGGGGGATTCGAGGCCTGGGGCCCGGCGGTGGGAGGGAGCTCTCGCCGAAAACCGTCAGGACCGTGTACCGTGTGACTACACTGCCGTTTCGGAAAACCCCAACGCCTTATTAAAAACGTTCTGGATGGAGACATACTCGAGTTTTCTGTAGTCTGGAAACTACTTCGTTCGTCGACCCCCGTCCCGCCAAATGATGACATGGAGAGGCTCTTGGGACCCCAGGGAGTGCGGAAAGGAGACCGGTGACGGGAATGGGGTGACCATGAACTGGACAGACCAGGAAAGCGTTCCTAGGGAGCTGGCACGACCACCCAGTCTCAAGAGAAATAGGGTGTAAGGCACATCCCCAGTCCAGGGACCTTTTCTTCTTTTTAGAGAGGTTTTTGTTATAGGGCAGGTGGGCTAGTCTTTCACGCACACGCACCTGGCGTGAGTTTAAGCCGCCGCGTCTGAAACTCAACTGCGGTGGACTACATGGAAGGCCAGCGACATAACCATGACGTCGTCTGCTGGTCCTCCAGGAAACATTAAGAGAAGGTGTGGAAGGGGCCGGCAGGTGGCGTAGTGGTTGTGATCACTGGACATCCACAGGGCTGAGACTGCGGTTCAAGTCCCGAACCTGGTGGCTTACTTTCTGTGTGTGTGTGTGTGTGTGTGTGTGTGTGTGTGTGTGTGTGTCCCTATCTGGTCAAAATAAAAAGGTGTGGGTCCCAATAGCAATCTTTGGGGAAAAAATATGCCCTGAGGGAGATAAGAGCCACAGAGGTAACCATGAGGACTGCAGCCAAGGCTAGTTGGGCAGAAAGGGAGCGACACTGAGGAGCTGTGACCTCACACATTTCCCCAATTGTTCAGCTCTATTTCACAAGACAGATGCTTTCAAAGCTGTTCTTGAAATGTCAGCTTGGTAGCTGGGCATTTCTTTGCCCACCTTGCTTTTGTGACTAGTACTAGGTCACTTACTCTGCAATTTTTGCTCTACAATCATTTTCCATGGACACAGTCCTTTTTTTTTTTTTTTTTTTTTAAGAGATTTTCGCAATAGTGTGCGTGCACTGCTTGAGAGACAGAAAGCGAGAAATCACTCCCCAGGGGAGATGGCCCCACTGAAATCCCTTCTCCTTCATTCTCCTCTTGAGATTCTGGGCATGCACACACATGCACCTTGCATGAATTTTAAGCCACTGGTTCCGGGACTCGAACTGTGGTCAACTATGCGGGAATTCAGTGATGTAACCATTATGCCATCTGCTGGTTTCCACACAGTGCTTTTCATTGGTGGAAGGGTGGCACTCTTACTTCAAAGATGTAAGGCTTAGGGTACTTAAGGCCATAGAACAAATACAGTGACTCTTCCTGAAGCATTTTTATACCATTTTCAGGAAAAAGTGATGTTTAAACAAAAATGATACAAGGCTTATTATATGTAAGCCTTTCAACTAGTGCAGTGATGACTTAAGCCTCTGTTCCAGTGCTAGTGGTACAGGTGTCTGTGACAGGCGGGAAGTGCCAGTAGGAGAGGCCTCTGGGATGCTTCACACAAACCCTTCCAGGCTAGCCAGTACCATACTGTCCACCAGCCAGAGCGCGAGGCATTCATGCATGCTTTGCTTTTGCTCACTTACTTTAGCAGAGCTGAGGATTCTGTGGGACGACAGTCATGCAATCTGTCATCCTCCCTGAGCAACTCAGTTTAGGTCTTAGGATGGCTGTCTCCCCCCTTCTAACTTATCCCCCCAGACCTTCCTCTACACTTTTATTGAAATGTGAATCTAATTCTATCACTCTCTAAAAACCTTAAATAAATAATCCAACACCACTTACAGTGTACCTTCCACCTGTTTCTCCAGGTTCCACTCCTGTTCCAAGTGTCCCAACAATCCTCGCCTGTTTCTTTTCTCTTTCTCATACTTCTTTTCCTTTGCTTGGAATGCCCTTTCCACACCTCTCTCCTGCTCGCTGGAGAGTCCCCCCTTTACATTCAGCTTCAGTACTATTTCATCTTGCTTGGGAAGTTACTCTACTTCTCCCTTTACCTGTGTGGCATATGCCATGAAAGGACCTACACATACCTCGTGGGCAATGCATGTAGTCACAGCTGAAACCCTCTGCTTATAATACAGTCTAGTTGAGGTTGAAATATGCCAAACCTCTCTCTAGGACTCAGAAAGTGAAAATAAATAGCTTAATGTCTCCTTAGGTCAAAATCTAAGTTATCAAGCCAGCAGGTGGCATGGTGGTTGGAGTACTGAACTCCCACGTGGCTGACTGCAGTTTGAGTCCCAGATCTGGCGGCTTGCTTTTTCACTTTCTCTCTCTGGTAAGCCCACATCCCCTAATGCCAGATTAAATTAAATTAAATAATTTGCAAAAAATTTATCACGGTTTATTAATGAACCGCAACAAAACTCAGACACTCTCCAACTCAAATGTATGTGTGAAAACTCCTACAACTTATGTGCGTCAGGTCCTAACTCATACCTACTTGATCTACGGAACTTTAAATTTTATTTCCATCATGTCAACATTCTTATTAATATGGCTTAATCTGAAAAAGTCTGACTTACAAACATGTTAACTATTTCCCTTTAGAACTGATTAAATCAGAGAAAAATTAAGTAAATTTAAAATATAGAACAAAAATATTGCTTAATGGGATTTTATCTGTTTATATCAAAAAGTGTTCTCCCAAAATAAGGATTCTAATTCAAGATTCCCTTGAATGAAAAGGTAACAGACAAACCCAATCTATCTTTTAAAACAGTATGCGTACAAAATAATGTGGCAGATTGCTAGGTGCACTTAGTGAACACAGAAGCATGTTTGCTGAAAAGAACATTTGAAACATGACCATAACTCTTTATGAAAAATTATAACAGGTTCTTCATTTAATTTTAGTTAATTAATAATATACCACAAGAGTAACTGGGTAGTTTATGATAAAACTGAGAACATTTTCTTTTCCCATAAAGTGAACATGTCAGTCTTTCCCTTTGGTTCCTTCCAATCCTCCTTCATGTGTTGAAGAAATATTGAGTTCTTCTAGAGTTTTGGTTAGGTGGGTGGTTTCCGAGCTGATTGGGCTCTCCAGGTAGGTAGTTCCAGCACAGGGTCTTCCTGTCACTGGATCTATGACTTTTCCAACTTTGAAAACGATCTCAGCCAGTTCATGTTTCACGTGCTTTGTTCGTGGAACAGGTAAAGCTTTGAGAAGCACGATATCCCCGACTGTACACTGCTGAAGGGCATCGTGGGCAAAGTAGGTTTTTCTCTTATTAAAATACTGTTGAGAGAATGAGAGGACAGACCTGAAATTCCCATCTGTGATCTGGCAATGCAGTATAGAATATGAAAAAGTAATGCACAGAGAATAAGCCCAGATTTGGGAAAAGAAGGTAAGATAGTTAAGGAGGTTTCTAGTCTAAAAATTAGTTGCTTAATTCACTGGAAAATAGCAATGAATTTCCAGAGTTGATTTTGTTCTTGAGTTCTACAGGCTATTCTCTTCCATACTGTTGAATTATAAATTATAATCTCTCCCTATTTAAATTCTTCCTTCTCATTCTCTACAGCCTAAAACATGATACTCTCACAATTAGCTGAATGAGTCACTTAACCATTCCAAACATTCTTTTCACCATAAAAAGAGGCTCTTAGCAGATGGCATGGAGAGTAAGGTGGCTGGATTCCACATGCCTGGCTGTGCAGTTTGAGTCCTGGACCTCATGTCCCAAATCATCTCCCGTGGTAGGTGATTTCTGACTTTCTCCCCTTTCTGTCTCTTTGGCAAGTACGCATGCCCTATAACAAAAACTTGAAAAAAAAAAAAAAAAGGCAAACAAAAAAATCCTCTAATACTGGCACCTCTAAAGTTATCAGAGGCATTAAACATAATGTATGTAAAGAATTTAGCTATACCTGGCTCAAAGTATTGCAAATAAGCGATAGATAGTAACTAGAAGACCAACTCTTTCAAACAACCTTTCTGAGGCAGGAGTTCCCATTTTATAGATGAGAAATACAAGCCCAGAGAGGTTAAGTAATGTGCACAGGTGGTCAACAGCAGACAATATTCAAACTAAGATCTTCTAAGACCAATGACCATGCCATCATTTTCAATTCCTGTTTTCTTTATTCTAGATAATGCACTGAATTTCTACCTGTGCACCTTAACTTGACCATCCTTGGTGTTTGCCCCCTCCTTCTCTTGCACAGTTAACAATCCATTGACTGTCCCGTCTCCCTGAAATCCACTTTTTTTCACTCCATCCCCATAGTTTCAACTTTAGTTCATGTACTTATCACTTCGAGGCTTTTTCAGTAGCTTCCTTACCTATTCCTCCCTTGCCTCCAGTCCTCACCCTTTTCCTAGTTTCCAAGTCTGTTTTTCCCTTGCTTAAAGGATAAAACACAAAAGATCTTTCACAGTCCAACTCCAGGTGTCCTTGCCATTCCTTCGATAGGAGAGCCTACTAAGTGCCAACCTCTGGGCTCAACTTCACCAAATCAGTTGCTATTTCCTTATCAATGGCTAAGTGAACTTCCACAAACTACTTATTAAGATCGGAATGGCTTCCATGTCCTCTGGATAAAATCCTACTTGAGATTCAGCTCAAACGTCTCTTAATCGAGGATGCTCTCCTACAGCAACCTGGAAGGAAAATTTGAGATGTCTTTTCTGCTCCCACAGTACTTTGCATATAGAATAACTTATAGCAGTTATCAGATTGAACTGAAATGAACTGTGTGTGTTACTAGAATTTGTGTATAAACTATGGTATACTCACAGACCAGCAGTGCTGGCCTGTGGCAGATGCTCAACACATCTTTATTGACAGGGAAATGTTTTTCTGCTCAGGACCCAGAACATGTTAGTGATTTATTAATGCAACCTGAAAACAGAAACATTCCTCACCTTTAATAAATAGGGATTCAGAACAAGCCTGGTCACTCTCACTTTAGCAGTTTTTTGCATTGCTGTCCCAATCACTTTCCCCACGATCCACTTGGCATGGACAGATGAACGAGTTACTGACATTATGGCTCTGGTCCTCTGAAAAGCAAATTTCAAAGTTTAATATTCAAGTGGTTATGACTTGCCAAAAGACTTCTGTCACAAGAACTACCCAAGTTCAGAAACAGCTGATTTTTTTTTGAGAAATTTTTGTTCTAGAGCGTATGCACTCGCCAGAGACAGAGAGAAAGAAAATGTGAAATCACCCCCCAGGGGGGATGGTCACGCCACAATCCCTTCTCCTCCAATCTCCTCTCAGGATCTTGGGCACGCACGCACACGCGCCCGGCGTGAGTTTTAAGCCCCCGAGTCCGGGACGCGAACCGCGGTCGACTATGTGGGAGTCCAGCGACATGGCCATTACGCTAACTGCTGGTCCCAGAAACAGCTGATTTTTTTTTGAGAAATTTTTGTTCTAGAGCGTATGCACTCGCCAGAGACAGAGAGAAAGAAAATGTGAAATCACCCCCCAGGGAGGATGGCCATGCCACAATCCCTTCTCCATTTTCCTCTCGGAACCTTGGGCACACATGGACACACCCAGCGTGTTTTAAGCTCCTGGGTCTGGGACTTGAACCGTAGTTGACCATGTGGGAGTCCAGAGACATAACCATTACGCCATCTGCTGGTCCCCAGAAACAGCTTTCTTAGTTTTCAAGAATCAGCATTTTAGTTGCTTGCTTAGTCCACTACTTCCTTAACTACCCAACCACCCACCTTTATAGTATTTACAAGTCAGTAACTTTAATCCCTCTAAGTCTCAATTTCCCCCATATAATGATAAAAACAACAGGCCCTATCACAAGAGTTCTACGAGGATTTAAACTTGATAAGACGGACCCGGCAGGTGGCGTGATGGTTAAGGATCCCACATGGCTAGCCACGGTTCGAGTCCAGGACCTGGCAGCTCGCTTCCTCACTCTTTCTAGTCAAGATGAAGAACAAATAAACAAGTAGTTCTTTAAAACACAACAACAAAACTCGATAAGGCGCTCCACAGCGCGAATAAATTTTCTGGCCGTGACTGGTGTTCTGTGGCTCCCTCCCTTCCTCCTCCCGAGGTGCCTCTTCCCAAATGCAACCCTAAATCCACCCCAGGGAACAGCAGCACACACTCACCTGCAGTTCTTGGGAAATTCGCGCAAATACGGGCGCGCCGGCCGCAGGGCGATGACGTCACGCAACGCAGTCCGCCCCGCCTCTGACGGCCCCTTTCATTGGCCGGGGCGCGCTTAGCCCTGGGAAGTTAAAGGCAGAGTTCCGCCCACGCTTCCCCGAGGAGGAACCGCGGCCCTAGCTCGCGAGGGCGTCCCTGAGTGTGGGAACGAAAGGAATACTTGACCTTTAGTATTCCTTCCAGGCGTTGGACGGGGCCTTCCAAATCAAAGGAACTTTCGTCAAACGTTGAAACATCGGAAACTTGTCAATGTTTAAATTTAAATACTTGATAATTTCCAGGTCCCTACAGCTGCTTTTTTTTTTTTTAAAGTATTTATTATTTTTTAAAATTACATTTGTTATTATCAGTTTTTTAAAATTTGACAAGACAGAGAAAGAGAGAAAGAGGAAGCAAACCGGCACGTCAGGGACCCGAACCACAGTTGGTCACGTGAGAGTCCAGCGCCTCTAACCACTACACCACTTGCTGGTCCCCCCCTCCACAGCTGGTTTTAAGATCAACTTTTGTAGGTTTTTATATCCACTATGATTTTTGGTGTTTCTCAATATCTGTGAGATGAGGGGCAATCTGATGTGGTTACATAGATTTGAGGGCTGATTATGAAAGAGTTAGATGGGCTGTGAGCAGTTTGCCTGATGATGCCTTCTCAGAGGGAAGACTGAGAATATGCTGGGCTCTTGTTTGGAAATTGCTAAGAGGAACAGTAATAGACTACTGGAACAGATTTCTTTTTTTCTTTTCGCTGTAGGGCACGTGTATTCACCAGAGAGACAGAAAGCGAGAAATCACCACCCCCAGGTGAAGGCCACGTTACAATCCTTTTTCCTTCATTCTCCTGGGATATTGGGCACGCATGGACACGTGCTGGTGTGAGTTTTAAGCCACCGGGTCTGGGGACTCAAACCTGGAAATCTAGTGTCGTAACCGTTATGCTATCTGCTGGTCCCTGAAACAGAAATTTAAAGGCCAAATTATAGGTGCAGTTGATCTTTGGCCATTGAAATACCTAAGCAACTGGAGGGGGAAGGCTGGGAAAATAGGAATTCTTCCATACATTAGCTTGTCCAATACTCATTTATTTATTAGTGAAAATGTATGGAGCCCCCGGGGCTGGCAGGTGGCATGGTGCTTCATGGCGCTGGACTCCCACATGGCCAACTGCAGTTCAAGTCCTGAACCTGGTGGCTTGCTTTCTGACTTTCCCTATCTCTGTCTCTCTCACTCTGTCCCTCTCTGGTCAAATAAAGTTAAATTTAAAAAGATATGGAACCTTATTCTCAGACTTTGTGCTATGCACTAGGTGCAAAAAGATTAAATAAAAAGAGGATCCTCACCTCAACAGTCTAACAGGGCAGACAAGAAAAAACAATTATAAAACAGACATGGATAATGAGAACCTTGAGGAAGGAGTGCCTAATTTATGGGAGAGAGTAGACTCAATCAGTAAATATAACTATCTGCCTTTCACCCTGGATAGTTATAGTCTTAGGAAGAGAGGGATATGGGATATGGGGAGAGCATCTGGAGCATGTGCAGGGGTGTTGGGGTGAGAGTACACAGTGTGAGCAGGAGTCTGGTATTGCCAGAGTAGAGGGTGAGAGGAAGAGTGGCAGGGATTAAAGATGAACAGGGCTAGATCTCTACCCAGGGGGCATTTCTCATTAAAGATCCAACTTTTGCAGAACTGTTGTTCTTGCCTTTCGCTTGCGCTGTGAGATTCTCTGCCTTGTATCAGAGTTCTTAGAATTCCTTGTGGAATATTTTTTTTTTCTGGTTGCAAAATTAAGCTTCGATCAAAGACTTTCCAAATTATAATTAATCGTTACTTCTTTTAACACATATCTTTGAAGCTCGATGAAATCATGACTACCATTCCCACCATAGGTTTCAATGTGGAGATGGTGGAGTGGAGTATAAGAACATCAGCTTCACTGTGTAGGACTTGGGTAGCCAGGACAAGATCTAGCTGCTGTGGTGCCACTACTTCCAGAACGCACAAACCTTGATTGTTGTGGTGGACAGCAACGACAGAGCATGTGAACGAGGCCCGTCAGGAGCTCACGAACATACTGGCTAGAGACGAGCTCAGGGATGCCATCCTCCTGTGTTTGCCAATAAGTGGGACCTTTCCCAAGGCCATGAATGCAGCCAAAGGTAAGCTGAGTCTGCATTCTGTGCCACAGCAACTGGCATCTGTGCCACTAGTGGGTACGGGCTCTACAAAGGACTGGACTGGCTGTCCAATCAGCTGCAGAACCAGAAGTGAATCAGCACACTGCCCCTTCTCTCCCTTTCACTCTTCCTTTCTGCCCCCCACTTTACTCATTGCCAAATGTGCGACTCTGTGATAATGAGTGCCCGAAGCTGTTTCCATGGGTTTTGGTCACAGCGTGCATTGCACCATGCTGTAAAGGTGGCAGATGCAATCTGCAACCAGGTTTTTAGGTCATGTAAGCAGTTTTTGTTTCCAATGAGGCAGTTTCTGGTACCCCTATGCAATGTTATTGAACTTTTTTTATTGAAAAAAAAATCAACTCAACTGTTTAGTGCTGAGAAGGAATTTGGGCACATTGGCACCTAGCCTTCAGGAGCCTTTGTGTTAGAGCCAGAAGCACTCCTGGCTTTAGATTTGTGTTGAGATCTGTCTTGGTGGTTGGTTTTTAACCTAAAGTCAGTGCATTTTAAAAAAATAGTTAAAAATACAAGATAAGGAGAACTCTTGAACACACAGAATGAAGACTATGCCTAGGGTAGGTTTTGCAGTAACGGCCTGAAAACCAGTCCATCAGATCATCTGTTCCCCTTTGGGAATGTGAGAGACAGTGACAAAATGGTGATCATTTCTGCATGGTCACAGTAGAGATCTCTGTGACTCACATGTCTTCGAGTCACCCTGCATTCCATAGCATTGTACTTGTGCTCACATGGTCTCCTAGGGGATAGGCTGGGAGGCACAGCCATCCGGACTCTTTCCTCCCAGGCTATGCCTCCTGCTCCTCTAGGAGTGGACTATGAGGCTGGCAGTAGCCATCTCAGGGGACACAGGGCCTTGGCCTCGGTCAGCATATGGACAAAACGGGAGCTCCTGCTGTTCCCAGTGCTCACTTGCACGCTTGCTCAGATAACATGGCAGGATGTCTGGGGCCTCACCAGAAGGAGCACATGCAAGCCGGGAGGGTCAGTCCATGCCAGAGCCAAGCCCCTCTGGAGCATCCCCATCTCCATGTGTGAGGTAGCTTTCTCTCCCTCAGCCTGCAAGGGTCTGATTGAAAAAGATGACCTCTACTTTTTGCTTTTGTATTTTGATAAAATACTGAAGAAACTGGACCTATTAAATTTATCTTGGGGAAAACCTCAGAACTGGTTTATTTGGTGTCATGGAACCTCTTACTGCTTCCAATATCTGACCAGTAAAAAAATAATAATAAATACAAAAATAAAAAAGAAGTGGACCTTCACTGCATAGGTATTTGAACACAAAATATGATTAGAAATCCTCCCTCACTACAGTAACTCAAGGTTTTATCAACTGTTTCACATACACTATTGTGTGGGACATATATACTTAATTTGTGGGGTCAGCATGTGGCATGGTGCTTAGGGAGCTGGATTCTCACATGGCTGACCACAGTTGAAAATCACAGCATTGCTCCCCCTAGGCTAGGGAGTAATTTCTCACTTTCCCTCTCTCTGTCTCTCTCCACAGAGGCCAGTGCACCTTATGGCAAAAACTTAAGAAAGGGAAAAAAGAAAACTTAACTTCTGTGATAAGATGAATTACTTTCTTGGGTTTTAGTGTCTTAATTTTTGCAAAGGCTTTAAATCACTTCAGCCTTGACTTAAGCCTATGAAGTCTAGTCCTTTCACAGAGGAAAACATCATGGAAGTTTTAAACCGAAATACACTTCAGAAGAAAGGTGAGAAAAAGCATGGAGGGGTAATTTCCGGCAGGGCGGGAGCTGGGGGGCAGCGAGCTGGCTTCAAGGGAAACCGTGGTAGAGGCCACTCTATGATCACACACTGGGCCTTCATCTGTGACCTGTTCCCCTTCAACGTTAACTTGGATCCACTTACAGAATTTACGGGATTCCATTTTTCTTATAGTACCTTGCCCACTGGCCTGCGTGCTTCATAATTGCAGAGGCGCCTGGTGGAGAATTAATGGATTATATTATGGATAGAGCAGAAGGCTCTGTGGCTACAGAGGAATGGCATGGGCATGTTACTGCCCTGTCACACCAGAATTTCAATGTCTTGGTTTGACTGCTAAACTTACAGAATTATTAGAGGAGATTTCAGAAAGAAAGGCTGGTTTTTTTTGTTGATGTCTTTGTGAGAGTCTAACCAGGTTGCAGTTAACAATGTGCATGTGGTTTGGCTAGAGTGTGAACAGGACAGTCATAGAGTACTACTTGGCCAGCCAGGGGGAGCTGGGCAAGGACGCTTGTGACAGGAGGAAAGCATTTTTCTAGGAACACCAAGAAGAAATCCATCATATCATTACCTCACCCAGTGAGGCCTGAAGACACCGAATAACAACAGGGAGTGGTGGTTCTTAGGCAGATGCTCTAGATATTTTATGGACAATGTTATCTTCATTGGATGATCTTGGAACTCACTAGGAGAAAAGTCATCATTGGTCTTAAAACAAAAATACAGGTTATAAACTTATTTTAAGTCTCATTGTTTCCAATGAGCAACATCCTACCTACTAAAGCTGTACACTATAATAAAAGTCAATCAAGGGACCAGCAGATAGCGTAATGGCTATGTCGCTGGACTCCTATGTAGTCGATGCGGTTCAAATCCCAGACCTGGTGGCTTAAATTCACGCCGGGCGCGTGTGCATGCATGCCCAAGATCCCAAGAGAATGGAGAAGGAATTGCAGTGTGACCATCCCCCCAGGGGGTGATTTCTTGCTTTCTGTCTCTCTGTCTCTCTCTCTATTTCTGGCTACCACAGGGCCCCTATAGCAAAAAACGCCTCTACAAAAACAAACAAACAAAAAAATTAAGATGGCTGCTAGGTGAGAGGGAAGCATTCTGTTCTCCTGGCTCATCACACTCACTGTGCGCAAAGGAAAACTTGCTCCCTCCTCCTAAATTCTGTGCCTGAGAACTACTGCTGCAGTATTATAATACATTTTTTAAATTTTATATTGAACCGATAACTGAGGCTTTAAAAGTATATATGAAATGTATAAGTCTAAAATGTATAATAAACACAGAGTTGATTAAAGAAAAAAAAAAACAAGAAAGGAAGCACAGAGACCACACTCTTAACTTTCCCCTCATGGTTTTATGGTTTCTTTAGCTCTGCCCAAGAAGAGTGAGAAAAACCAAAAACCAAGAAACAAGCATTCCCATACTTGCAGCAACATTTATGGCTTATGACAGCTCACCATTATAATGCTAAGAACAACACGTGACTGGTCCTGTCAGTAATCGTCAAAATAAAATTACCCATTTAAAAATCTTTTTGGAAAAACCTGTTATATTGGGGCCAGCCAGTGGCGAAGTGGTTAAGGTGCTGGACACCCATGCAGCACCCTGGCCTGCTATGTTCACGTCTCAGACCCAGAGGCTTGAAAATCACACTGGGTTTGTGTGTGTCCATGCCCAAAATCCAAAGAGGAGAATGGATTGTGGTGTGACTGTCCCCCCGGGGTGATTTCTCACTTTCCATCTCTCTGTCTCTCTCTCTGGTAAATACATGTGCCCTATGACAAAAACCTAAAAAGATGTTACATATTTCAGTAAGTAAAATTAATGATTAGACCAACGAGACCACTTCTTTAGTTGTTCATACAAACCAGTAAATCCCTTCCCTGGTTCTTAGCCTTACTGTGACACCACAGTCCACCCTTGGGCACAGTTCCGTATTCTTGCAGCTTCCACAGTAATACAGGTAGCATGCAGATTCTCAGCTCCTAGTCATTATTTTAAAAACTCCTACTGGGGCCGACAGGTGGTGTGTTAGTTAAGGTGCTGGACTCCCACATGGCTGACCATGGTTTGAGTCCTGGACCTGGTGGCTTTCTCTCTGTCTCTGTCTGGTTAAATTTAATAATAATAAATTAAATAAATAATAAACTTTAAAAGTTTCTTCTAAAACCTATAAATTTGAGCTCAAAATCTGTGTTTGACATAGAGAAAATTAAAAGTAGAATAACAATGGGGCTGGCAGGTGGCGTGGTGGTCAAGGATGCTGGACTCCCACATGGCCAACCATGGTTTGAGTCCCAGGCTTGGCAGCTTGCTTTCTCACTCTCTCTCCCTCTTGCTCTGTCCCTCTCTGGGCAAAGTAAAAATAAATAAAGTTAGGGACCAGCAGTTGGCATAAGGGCTATGTTGCTGGACTCCCATGTGGTCGACCGTGGTTCGAGTCCCAGACCTGGTGGCTTGAACTCATGCCGGGCACACGTCTGTGCATGCCGAAGATCCCAAGAGGAGAATGGGAAGAGAAGGGATTGCGTCATGGCCATCCCCCCGGGGGGTGATTTTTTGCTTTCTGTCTCTCTGTCTGTCTCTGTCTTTCTGGTGAGCACACGTGCCCTATAGCAAAAACCTCTCAAATAAATAAAGTTAAATAATTATTTTTAAAAATATTTAATTTTATTTATTTATTCATTTATTTTAATGTGACCATATAGAGACAGAGAGAGAGAGAAAGTGAGAAAGCAAGTCGCCAGGTCCAGTACTTGAACCACGTTTGGCCATGTGGGAGTGTTCAGCGCCCCAACCACCACGCCACCTGCTGGTCCCTGAATAAAATAATTTTTTTTTTAAAAAGAATAATAGGATAGAAAGGCAGACTTCTCTGAATTAATTTTCTGAAGTTCATCAATATGACACTTACTCCCCTCTCAGACTCTTCTCAAAGTGATTCTAGGATTTTCTTGATGAAAATAGTGAGAGTATTGCTAGAAGAATTGTAACAGAATTTTGCCATATCCTGTCACATTGTTTTCTCAGATGATGGTACATAAGATTTTTGGTGGCACACCATGAATACTTTTAATTTCAAAAGTGACCTATTTATTTTGATAGAAGGCAGAACAATAATTAGCACCTAAAGCTGTATTATGTGTTTTATATGTTAAATAAAATTCCTTGGAAGGCTAAAAATCCTGAGTCCTTTTAAAAAATATTAAGTAAAACTGGATATAGTAAAACCTGTTAAGGAAGCACACAAATACTGTTTGAGAAGCATTGCCTTTGTATGTTTATTTTGTGTTTGTGTGACGGGTAACAGTATTGCTCTGATTAATTAATACTGATACAAATTAAAAGCTTTAGACCATAAAACCAAGATGACTAATTACAGGTTATTGCCTATAGGATTTCTGATCATTTATTTAAAAAACTTTTTATATTTGGAACATGACTTCTAATATAATCTTGATTATAAAATACGTTATTTTTGGACCAGCCTGTGGTATGGTGGTTAAGGTAGCTGAGTCCCACAGAACCACTTGCACGGTTCAAGTCATGGACCTGATGGTTTGAGAAACCCAAGTGGCATGTGGGCATGTGTGCCCAAAATTATGAAAGTGGAGAAAGATGGAGGAGAAGGGATTGCAATGTGACCATTTCCCATAAGGGGGGAGGGGTGCTTTCTTACTTCTCCCTCTCCCCCTGTATACCCTCTGGCAAAAAACTAAAAAACAAAACCAAACAAAACTAAAATAAAATAAATATTTTTCACTATTATAGCCCCTCCTAGGGATATAATATGCTACTAGTTTAAGGTCTAAGCTTATTTGGTTTCTATGCATTAAGTTTATTTATAAGCTTTCTCTTCACTATGAATTAACTCGATATTGAATAAAATGAAAAGGTGTGACCCCCAAAAATGTCCTACATTTCTAAGTTCATATGCTGCTGAGTCAGTGAAGAGCTGTAGCTTAAGGTTTTCTCACATTTGTAGTCACACGCCTTCTCCCGAGTATGGATCTTCCTGTGTTGATTAAGGTGTGCACTCTGACTAAAGGCTTTCCCACATTCGGTACATTTATAGGGCTTCTCTCCCGTATGAGTTCTTTCATGCTGATTTAGATGGGTCCTCTGGCTGAAGGCTTTGCCACAGAAACTGCACTCGTAAGGTTTCTCTCCAGTATGAAGTCTGTGATGTTCAGTAAGGGACGTGATGCGGCTAAAGGCTTTTCCACATTGATTGCACTTGTAGGGCTTCTCTCCGGTATGAATCCTCAGATGTTGAGTGAAGGATGAATGTTGACGGAAGGCTTTCCCACAGTCATTGCATATAAAAGGTTTTTCTCCTGTGTGAATTCTCTGATGCTGAATAAGATGGATCCTCTGGCTGAATCTTTTGCCACATTCATCACACTTATAGGGCTTCTCTCCTGTAAGGACTATCTGGGATGGGGTAAGAGATGAGTTGTGGCTAAAGGCCTTTCCATAGTCACTGGGTTTCTCTCGGGTAGGAATATGACTAGTAAGAAGAATATGTTGATTGAAGATTTTTCCACACTCACTATATTCATAGGGGTTCTCCCTTACATAGTTTCCCTGATAGTAAATCAAGCCTGAATTATGTCTGTTGCTATTTGCTTGTGTGACAGAATTAAAGGGTATTTTAATAGAAGGAATTCTCTGATGCAGAATAAGGTTTGAGTTCAGATTACAGTTTTCTACAAACTTATTACGGTCAAGGCTTCTCTCTTGTGTGATCTTTTTGTGGAGGAAAGACACTTGTCCCACATGAGTCTGCTGGTTTTCTTGGTTAAACTCTAATTGGTAGTCAAAGTCCCAGATACCTCCCAAGATGGAGTACCAGAAACTGTCTCCTGTTATTCTTGCCATTATCATGTCATGGGTTTGATTTTCAATGGAAATATTCTGGTTTGGAGTTGACTTTGTGATTTCAGGTCTGTTCTCTCCATCTAAAAGAAATTCAGAACATATAAAAACTTTCCAATATGTTTTAACTTTGAAAAAGAAATTGTTGCATAATAAACTACTAAATGAAACTCAGGGTAATGTGTACAAGGCATATGTGATACTGAAAAGTTTTTAAATATGGCCATGTAACAAAGGGAAAGAATATATAAGGGTGTTGACCAACAGTGAACAGGGGAAAGTTGTTACTTTTTGCTATAGGGCACATGCACTTTGCAGAAAAAGAGAAAGTTAAAAAGCAACCCCCAGGGTGATGGCCACATCACAATCCCTTCTCCATTTCTCCTCTTGAGATTTTGAGCTTGCACACGCACATGCCTGGAGTGTTTTTTAAGCCACTGGGTCCAGGTCTTAAATCACACCGTGGGCCAGGTACAATCCAGTTGCCTTAACTGCCTTAACCAACACACCACAGGCTGCCTAAACAGAGGAAAATTGTAAAACATCTATGATAATCATTTTTAAAAAAAGAGAGATCACTCAGGAGTATCCATGGTTGAAAGGAGATGGACAGGACAAGAACTATCAGAGAAAAGTCTGTGTTCAGAGAGGAACAACAACTTAGACAAGGAAGGTCTGAGTTCAGGCCCTAGGAAAACTCATCTGTAGATTACTCTGTTTTAATCACACCTATTTGTTTATTCAAAAAGTACTTCTTTCTATTTTTAATCTTTTATTTAAAATGATAAAACTAGTATTTATAGTCACATTCAAATACTGTGGAGATGCTACCCTCTAGAAATAATATTGTTAATAGAAATGATCATTGTTAATAGCTAGAAAGGCTATCTTGCCGGATTTTTCCTATGTTTACACAAATATACATATAAGCCATATTTGAACAAGCATTACTCATGGATAAAGGTAAAAGTAAAAATTCATTCTGGCCTCCCACCACTTCCTTAAACTTCATTCAGTGGGAGTATTCGGATCTGAGCAGGCCCACAGTTTCCCCCTTAAAGCTCAGGCAATGGATACTCCTAATGTTACATGAAGTCACATGCTCAGTATCTACTTAGTGTAATAGTCAAAACTCCAATTAATTTCTCTTCCCTCCTCAGGTCTGTTACAAAAAGACTCGTGTCCCTTCCTTCAGCCTGCCTCTTCCTCTGCTCTGTTCTCTTCATGTTGACCATGTCCCCTGCTCTACTCTCTGTCTGCTAGTCTCTTCCTTGCCTCTACTCTCTTACTTCTTTCCCCACTTTATTTCCCCACTCACTTCTTCCCTCACTTACTAACCTTTGTTTAGTTCCCATCTAACAAGAGTTGTTCAGTGGGGGCTGTGTGGAGGGAGGAGAGATTAAGTGAGGTCAATTTTTGTGTGGCTGGGTGACTTCATAGTCTTGGCTTAGATGGATTCACTTCGGGGAACATTTATAATTCTCGAGAAATTCTCCCCACGCCATGTGCATTTCCATGATCTACGTAGATGCATCTTTATTCCAGGCATTGATTCTGTTGCGTCATTGGGAAAGTCATGACACATTTTTGCATAGAAAAACATGTTAGGACTTTCCTGACGACCTAGTATTTGACAAGATCCAGGACCACACTGGCTGACACTTGAGAAACATTCATGATACCTTCCCCCAGCAAACTCAGGTAGTGGAAAGTGATCTAACTTGTCAGCTTCTCTTGGCTTACCCAGCAAAGCCATTCATTAGCTGGCCTTGGGTGAGAATCTGCTTAGGGTTTCTTTTCTTTTCTTTCTTCTCCTACTTTTTTTTTTTTTTAAAGAGAGATTTTTTGAAATAGGGTGCATGTGCTTGCCAGAGAGACAGAGAGAGACAGGGAGACAGAAAGTGAGCAATCACCCCCCCAGGGGGGATGGTCATGCCACAATCCCTTCTCTCCATTTTCCTCTCGGGATTTTGGGCATGCACGCTCACATGCCCAGTGTCAGTTTCAAGCCAGCGGGTCTGGGGCTCGAACCACGGTTGACTATGTGGGTTGCAGCAATATAACCATTACATCATCTGCTGGGCCCTGTTTTAGCTTTCTTGTATGAGGGGCATACACTAGTTTTGTCTTCCAACCACAGGGAAAATATATCAAAACTATCTGAATAGTCCCACTGAAACTAGGCAGCCATATAATTATTATCTTAATTGGGACCCTTGATGGTAAAAGGGTCACATTGATAATTATGTCAGAAACTAGCATAGGCTAACTGGAGGGAATCTGATCACTGTATTTTGACTCAACCATTGCTATATTTCCTTCTACATCTTTCCTTAAAGAGGTTAAAGATTCACAACATAGTTCTCACCTAAGAAACTTCTTCATCAATTTCCTAAAAAAAGGTTCCTAATAGATCTGTTTTTATATCCCTGATCTGGCTGGCTGAGGGGAGCAGGTCGCGAGGCTGTTTCCTATGCTCATAGACATGGGACAGTTGCCACACTTACTCAGTAGGCAGGTACCTTCCACTCTGAAAGACGACGATTCTAACAAATACTCATATATAAGTAAGTATGTGCATATATTTATACATATATAGTTTTATTTTTAAGCCAAAACAGGATAATAGTTTACATTTAGCTTGTATGACTTTGTTTTTCATTTAAAATTCTTTCTAAAGTGAGTATACATAGATCTGCCTCATGCCTTTGCAAAAATAAAAAATCTAATATGAACTGATTTTTTTCACTGGCTTTTGTATTCTTTAAATCTGAGGGGAAGATTTTTGGAGCATACTCCATTGCATGGTTCAGAAGTGACTACTTCCCCTCACTGACTAGGAAATGGCCACATGCTTGCTTCTCACCTGGAGGAGGGTCCAGTGGGCTGTCTCTCTCTATCGTCCACTGCTCTTCTTGCTCCAATTGAGTAATCACCTCTGGCTTATAAAGTTGTTGCCCTATTCATAGGAAAGATATATATCTCAGGAGTTTATACTAGGAACAAAAATCTCACTTCAAATCCACTTCCAAACATTTCAGTCTTTAAGGCCCCTGGATTTGGAAAGGGGAGGTTTCAGAGGCAACAAATAAAGCTACCCATCTCACTCAGCGAAGTCAAGACCTATCACATCAGAAGAAAGAGCAGGAAACTAAGGTCTCTGTCTTCAAAACTGATCGACTTTTTCTGTCCTAGCTTAAACTATATTCACAAAAGCTCTGGAGGCTTTTACTGCTTAGGAAAATAAACCCATTTGAGTGGTTTCCAACTTCACAGGGACACCATCCGTACCCAGTGCGACCAGATTTCTATAGTTCTCCAGCATTACGTCTCGGTAGAGGTTCTTCTGAGCCGGGTACAGCTGGTCCCACTCCTCTCTGGTGAAATCCACAGCCACATCCTGGAATGTCAGTGATCCCTGAAACAGCAAGCATATTGTGGTTTAGTCAGCAACTGTTCCTACAAGGGCCCTCGGGGAAGGGGTGAGAGTGTACACTACACAAAGGTTAGGTGTCTACACTGCTGTGCTGAATCTTCAGGACTGAGTAATCGAGAGGTCGAACTCTTTCCTTTTTTTTTTTTTTCTTAAAGACAGGGTCTCAGGACCAGCAGATGGTGTAATGGTTACATTGCTGGACTCCTATGTAGTTGACTGTGGTTTGAGTCCCGGACCTGGTGACTTAAAACTCATGCCAGGCATGCGTGTGTGACCAAGATCCTGAGAGAATAGAGGAGGAGGGATTGCAGTGTGGCCATTCCCCGGGGGGATGACTTCTTACTTTCTGTCTCTCTGTCTCTCCAGTGAGTGCACATGCCATATAGCAAAAAATCTCTCTTAAAAAAAAAGAAAAAAGACAGGGTCTCGTGTTGGGATCTTCCTGCCTCAGCCTTCCAGCTGGAATGACAGGCTTACAGCACTATGCCCAGATCTTCTTTTTAAAAATTGTATCTGTTAGTATTTTTAATTTTCCACAGGGCATGTGCACTCACCAGAAAGAGATGGAAAGAGAAAGTGAGAAAGCAAGTCACCAGGTCTGGGACCTGAACCACAGTTGGCTATGTGGGAGTCCAGATCCCCAACCACCATGCCACCTGCTGGCCCCAGATCTTTTTAGACAGGGTCTTGCTATATTGGCCAGGCCAGCCTGGAGCCCATGGTCTTCCTGGCTTAGTCTCTTGATTTTGCTAAGAGTACAAGTGCACAGCATCGCCTGGCCATTGTTTGGATCAGGAATCAAACCTGGTCCTCCTGTGCAGTCCCAGCTTGCAAAGCAAAATGTCTCAGTAGCATATGTGCCACCATCACTGGGCCTGGGTCAAACTTTTTAAAACAATAATTAGTACCTATTTATCATCTTTGAAGACCTGTAAGAATGTGCATGACATAATTTTTGCTTATAAGTTTTTTATAGTTTGTTGCAAAGGAAAGACTCTCATCTAAACTTCCCCCCCTCCCCCGCTATGGGTCATGTGTGCTTGCCAGAGAGACAGAGGGAGAAGGCAAGAAATCATCTCCTGGGGGGATGACCATGCCGCAATCCCTTCTCCTTCATTCTCCTCTCTGGATTTTGGGCACACACGCACACACGTCCAGCATGAGTTTCAAGCTGCCCGGTCTGAGACTCAAACTGTGGTTAACTATGTGGGAGTCCAGTGACTTAACCATTATGCCGTCTGCTGGTTCCACTCATCTAAACAACTAAAAAACTATAGTATGGGACATTCATTCTAGAAACGAATTCAGGATGTGTTGAAACTGGCATCTTGTGTAAATCCTTAACAGATTTTTTTATGGTTTGGACAGAACAGTAGAGAAGATATTCTAATAGTTAAGAGAAATAAGGCATGGGGTCAGCAGGTGGTATGTTGGTTAAAGAGCTGGACCCCACATGGCTGACCACAATTCTAGCTCTGAACCTGGTGGCTTGAAAATCATGCTGGGCACATGTGGGTGCATGCCCAAAATCCCAAGAGGAGAAGGGAGGAGAAGGGATTGTGGCATGGCCATCACCCTTGGGAACTGAATCCTGATGGTCATATGGCTTCCAGTATTGCACAGCATTGCACTATGGCTGCACACCCATAGCTGAGCCCCATCCACTAATACTTCCTGCCTGAATTAATCATTATTATGGCTGCCAAATGGTAGTTTTCTAATTCTATCATTCTTTACACATTATTAGTTGCCTTTTTTTTTTCCTAATGCCAAATAGCACATGCATGAGAGAGAGATAGCTCTTCCCCAGTGGGCTTTGTCACCTGCATTCCCCTTTCCTCCATCCCTCTTTTCCATTGGGATCCTGGGCACATGTGCACATGCATCTGGCCTGGTTTTCACACTGCCAGGGCCAGGATTCTAACCACAGTCACCCAAATGGGATCTGATTCTCTCCACATAGCTTTTAACCACACTGTACTATAGGTTGGCCCTCATAGTTGACTTTCTACTCTGATGAAGGGGTTCTCCTTCTCATTCATTTATTTCTATCAGTGTGGATTTATGGGTGGTTGTTTTATTTGATAAATTATAATCCTTCACTATCACTGATTTAATGTTAAGGCTGTCTTAGATGTAGCCAGAAGCCCCTTCAAACTGATTTCTATGTCTTTTTGAAAGGCCTCCTTTTTTAAATTTGTCAGAGGGTGTGTGTGTGCGCTTGCCAGAAAGGACAGAGACAGGGAGAGAGGGAAAGGAAGAAAGCACCCTTTCATGGGGAATGGTCATGTTGCAATCCCTTCTCCATTTCTCCCTCCTTCTGGGATTTTGGGCATACATGCAGATGCACCTGGTATATATTTCAAGCCACTGGGTCTAGAGCTAAAACCACGGAGTCAGCCTTTGGGGATCTAGCCACCACAACCACCATGCTGCTGACAGGTTCCCTATCATTCTTTGAGTACTCCTTTACTTTTTGGGAAAGAAAATTTTTGTTTTTGTTTTAAGAGAGATTTTTGCTATAGGGAACGTGTACTTGCCAAAGAGACGGAGAGACAGAAAGCAAGAAATCACTCCCCAGGGAGGGTGGCTACACCGCAATACTTTCTCCTCCATTCTCCTCTCCTCTTGGGATTTTGGGCACACACCCGCACACACATCTGGTGTGAGTTTTAAGCCACCAGGTCTGGGGCTTGAACTGTGGTCAACTACATAGGAATCCAGCGACATAACCATGATGCCATCTTCTGGTCTCAAGAAAGACGACCTTTCAAGGTTCATCTTGTACTTTCCTTGCTCCAAGCCTGGAATCAGCCTTTCTTCCAAGGATCCCTGATTCCTTTGAATGAAGAATGGCACTGAAAAATCAAGATCTGGCACTAGGTGTATACAATGCTATGAGAGAGTCATTGCTCCTAGGCCCTCTCAGCAATCAGATCTGGAAAACAGGGGTGTGTATACATATTTAATCACATAAACATGCACTCACACACAAAACCACACACATAGGTACAACTGCAACTCTATATCCATTTCTTTTTTTTTTTTTTTTTTAAGAGAGATTTTCACTATAGGGTGTATGCATTTGCCAGAGAGAAAGAAAGCAAGAAATCACCCCCCAGATGGCCACACTGCAGTCCCTTCTCCTCTCAGGATTTTGGGCACATACACACACATGCCGGCATGAATTTTAAGCCGCTGGGTCCCAGACTATGGGGAGTCCAGAGACATAACCCTTATGCCACCTGCTGGTTCCAATATCCACGTCTATATATAGCTTCCTGTATTAAAAACAATGAGTTCACATGGGTACCTCTAACTCTACTCTAGCACAGCAGGATTCATTCTATCCATTCTTCGAATATGTAATTCCCTCTGTGACCATGAGACACCTGGCTCTCAGTATCCATAATGCATTTACTTATTTGTCATAGAATGTAAAAAAATTGGTTTTAGAGGTTTACTGCCTCTACATAAAAGTAGCCTAAAAGAGTTCAATATTGCTTTAAGCCTGAGGGCATTCACTCCAAATACTTGCTTTCAAAAGATAGTTCCATCTGGCTTTCTTTGGTGTCATTGTATCAATCACTTGAGATACAGTTTAATCCATTTGTTTCTATTCACAAACAATTTTTGGTCCTTCTCCTATCCTTCTGATATCCTTCAGGTATCATATCTTTTTTTAATGCTTTCTCTCTGTGTCACCTATGAACTAAAGAAACAGTTATTTGCCCCGGAACGTATGTACCCTGTGGGAAAGGCACAGGAACAACCACTGGAGACATTGCCACTCAAGCAGACAGCAGGCCACAGTGATTCTGAATGAACTGAGCTGGGCACATGCTGCCAGTTCCATACTTAGGACTCAGGCCTACTTAACTCCTGCAGCTAGGAGTTGTTCTCTGATCCTCGGCTCCACTCTCCTGGCTCCACTCTCCTGGCTCCACTCTCCTGGCTTTCGGTTCTGCCCTGAGTTAGCTTACCTTTTCCATAAAAAGTAGCTGTTTGGAGCTGAGTAGTTTTCTCAGCCTGCTTCCCGCCCACTCAAGTGTGACGATTCAAAGGCCTTTTTCATTTATACTGTCACTGTTCTTTTCATTTTCTTTCTTTTTTCTAAATAAAGTTGATTTATTTCTTTCATGACAGAGTCAGAAAGACAAGTACTCCTGACAGGGTCTCATGCTGTGACACTCCCAGCCTCTCCCAGACAGCTGACACACATCTGCCTGACAGGATCACTGGCACATTCATGCATATGCCTGTCATGTGCAGGTGGCCTGGGAACCAAACCCTGATCTTCCTTCCATATGCCTTACAGCATTGTAGACCATTTGCCTGTTCATTTTAAGCTAATAAAATTGTTTTTTAAATTTACCAATTATAATCCAAGTACCCTACATAAAAGCTACACCCACAATACTCTGAGATAAGCCCTTCTCTCCTTTGGGTTCCCCGTGAGACTGCTATGTTAAACTTCAGTACAAATTTTTAGAAGCCATGTGTTTAACAGAGGATAGGTCCTAAGGAGGCACTGTGTTAGATCTTTCTGAAGTTGTAACAAAGTTGCAAAGCCCACCTTGCATTTGCTCTTCATAGTGATTTCTGTCTGTGGCTAGTATAGGTGTGAATGAGAAAGCTTCATTTTCATACTCAGTAAATCCTTTAATATAATACTGGCTCCTTTATATTTAATAGTTCTTTATTTAGTTTATCTTTTTTTTCCTTACATTTTACTTTCGGTGGCCAGAAGCTGCCAGCTGGCACTTTCAATTCAATCTTCTATCTGAAAAATCTCCTTAGTTAGGTAAATTCATTACGTACAGCCACTGTTTTCCTTGTTAGTGAAGGGGATAATGTCACCTGACATTTCTTCTTTGCAGGTCCCTTTTCTTCTAGCTTCTAATAACATTTTCCTTACTATCCTTTAAGCCCTGACAAAATACCCTTTTGGTTTCTACTAATTCTCCTTGAAGCTCTTTATGACTTAATCAATGGCTCTTTCCTTTCCATCTTCTGCCCATCATTCAATCCCAAAGGGAATGCCATATAGTTTAGGGTTTTGGTACAGGTATCAAAATCTGTAACAGTTACCTACTGCTGCATAACAAACCACCTCAAAATTTGAGGATGAAAACAACAAGTATCTGGGCTAGCAGGTGGCATGGTGGTTAAGGATGCTGGACTCCTACATTATTGACTGCAGTTCTAGTCCTAGACTTGGCAGCTTGCTTTTTTACTTTCTATGTCTCTCTCTCTCACTCACTTTGTTCTTCTCTGGTCAAATTAAAACACATTAAGTTAAATAAAATTATTTTTTAAAAAACCCAGCAACTATCAATTCTTTTGCTCACAAATCTGCACTATGGGACTTAGTGTGGACAGCTTGCTTCCTGATTTATATGGCTGCATCTGGAAAGGCCTGACTGGGGAATAGAGGATCCACTTTCAAGCTGGTTTGCTCACTTGGTTGGCAGGTTGCTGCTGGCTTTTAGCTGAAAGCTCAGCTAGGGCTGTGGGCCTTGGTTCCTTTCCTGTGAAATTCTCTCTGGGTTTCTTCATGGCAAGGTGACTGGGTTTCAAGTGAGCATCCCAAGAGATTGACATAGAAGTCTTACTGCCTTGTATCATCTGCCTTGAAAGTCACATAGCTTTGCTTCCACGAGTCACAGGCTCCACATGACAGTCTCTTATTGTCCTTGCTCTTGTTCAGGGCTTATTTCCTGTCTGAAATGGCCACCAGTCCTCTTTAATCTCTGAATCCTGTCTGCTGTTATCAGCACATGTTACAACTCTCCTTTGTTCATAAAGCCCTCCCTCTCCCAAACTCAATGAGATTTCTCTTTCTCTAAGCACCTATTGTATTTCTGTCTTTTGCATTCATAGCCGCATCCAACATTATATGTTTTTGAATATTACTTGGGTAAAGTGGGCTTTAAAATAATCACCTCTGGGACAGCCAGTGGTGTGGTGATTAAAGTGGCTGGATCCCACATGGTCAACTTCGAAGTTTGAGTCCTGGACCTGGCAGCTTGAAAAAACATTTTGGGCAGCGTGTTTGTGTGTGTGTGTGTATGTGTGTGTGTGTTTGCGCATGCCCAAAATCCTGACAGAATGGGGGAAAAGGGACTGTGGCATAGCCATCCTCCACCAGTGGGTGATTTCTCACTTTCCCTCACTCTGTCTGTCTCTGTTTCCACTGAGTGCACATACCTTAAAAAACTAAAAGCAAACAAACAAAAACCCTCCAATGAGTGTACTGGCTACCTAAAGATAATGATTATCTTATATAATTGGAAGAATAATAGTCCTCCTGTCTGGAGCAATTGAGACTGGTATCTGATGTGACAAACAAAAAATCTGGTTAAATTAGAGATCATAAAAGATACTGTAAACATTTTATTTTAAAACATATAAATGTATATTTATTCTCTCATCTTTTGACTTTGAAACTAAGTCTTTTTCATGAGAGTGATTTTAATAACTGGGTGCCTGTGCACTCATGCATAAGCCTCTGCATCATTGAAGTGGCATAAGCAAATGATACCTTGGAAAATACCATATCATTTGAATCCCCTGAGATTTTAATGACTTCTTCATATTTTTTGCTCAAACATAATTGGTTAGCAATTTTTGAAAAAGTAACTGGCATTTATCAAGTCTTTCCAAAGCATTCAACTACTTTTCACAGAAATAACTCCCTATCACATTCATATTTCATAAACTTACATAAAACATAATCAAATTATAGAATTATAACAAGCTTAAACAAGTTTGGAAGAGATAAAATAGGCTACCGATAAACAATAACTTGTGGTAGCAGATATCCTAAGGCATATTTAATAATCTAATTAGCTCTAAGCAGTCACAGTGACCTGGGTATCATTCCCAGTGTTTACAGAGAATGTCAAGCATTATTATTTTTTTTTTTTGAGAGGTTTTCGCTATAGGGCGCGTGTGCTCGCCAGACAGAGAGAGACAGAGAGACAGAAAGCGAGAAATCACCCCCCGGGGGGATTGCCATGCCGCAATCCCTTCTCCTCCATTCTCCTCTCGGGATCTTGGGCATGCACGCACACGCGCCCAGAGTGAGTTTTAAGTCACCGGGTCCAGGACATGAACCGTGGTCGACTATGTGGGAGTCCAGCGACATAGCCATTACGCTAACTGCTGGTCCCAAGCATTATTTAAATTCTAGTGAGCTAGGGATCATAAGATGGCATAGTGGTTACGTTGCTGGACTCCCACATGGCCGATCGCAGTTTGAGTCTGGGATCCAGTGGCTTGAAACTCATGCTGGGTACGTGTGTGTGCATACCTAAGATCCCGGGAGGGTGGAGAAGGGAGATTGTGGCATGGCCATCTACCTGGGGGTTGGTTTCTTTCTTTTCCTCTCACTGACTCTGTCTCTCTCTCTCTCTAGTGAGCACATGCACCCTAAGGCAAAAACCTTTACCTAAATAAATCAATAAATTCTAGTGAGCTACATTTTCAAAAAATAATTGTTTAACTAATTAATAATTATTACTTATTTTGCTGTAGGGCATGCATGTTCACCAGAGAGAGAGAGATGGAAAGTGAGAAAGCAAGTCTTCAGGTCTGGCACTCTGAACAGCTATCAGCCATGTGAGAGTCCAGCACCTTAACCACCACACCATTTGCTGGTGAGCAACTTTAAGTAAACAGTGATTAAAAAATAGTCTACAAAATAAAGTATTTTGTTTCTTCAAACATTTAGCACATGAGGCCAGCAGGTGATGTAGTGGTTAAGGGTGCTGGACTCCCACATGGCCGAGCACAGTTCGAGTCCTGGACCTGTGGCTTGCTTTTCTTCTTTCGATGAGTAAACATGACCCCTGATAAATTAAAATCAGCATGTGGCATGGTGGTTAATGGCACTGGATTCCCACATAGCCAAACATGGTTCAAATCCTGAACCTGGTAGCTTGCTTTCTCACATTCTCTCTCTCTCTCTGTCCCTCTCTGGTCAAATTATAAATAAATAAATAAAGTTAAATAAAATATTAAAAAAAAAATTTAGCACACAAGCGAGTCCATGAAACTGAATCTGGTGAAAATGCTGGAAGGAGAAAAGAGTTATAAAGATCTAGATAAAGTTAATGAGAAGCATTATATCATCCATCTGTCACAAGAGTTTCCAGGATTCTAGGTTTTGGGGACTCAGCCCTTCTGTAAACTGAAAAGTAAAAGTGCCCACATTCTGAGAATGATACATTTCAGAGAAGAAAACTGAACTTACTGGAGACCTGACTCTCTGTGATCCATTCTTCCTTTCTCTCTCCTCCACGTGCCCCTCCTGAGAAAGCGCAGCATTCTGAGAAGGCATAACTGGGAAGAAGAGAACGGAAGCATCTTGTTAATGTATGACATTAGGCTTCATTAATTAATTTATTTATTATAATCCTTTCTTTAGAAGTATTAATTTATTTATTTATTTTTCACCATCATCATATTCTTTAATTAAACCAGAGGGAGAGAGACAGGGAAAATGCAAAAGCAAGCCACCAGGCCCAGGACTCAAACTGGTAGGCCATGTGGGAGTCTAGCAGCTTAACCGCCAAGTCACCTGCTGGCCCCACGGCTAAACTTAAATCATGGTGCTTTTGCTTTATGTTGGTATGGCAGATAGCTTACAGAGAAGCCCTCAAAGACGGAAGCCTAACGGCTGGACACCTCGACTGTGACAGCTCTGCTCTACTACACTGGGGAATTCAGTGCAGGACTTCCTCTTCTCTGTGTACCTTTCCACTTGCTATAGCACCTGGGAAGCTTAAGAGAGCTCAGTGGTTTTTAGCCCTGGCTACAGATTTGGTGAAATTAGAAAAGATCCTTTTTTTTTTTTTTTAAATTTTTCTACAAGGCACATGTACTCACTGGACAAAGACAGGAAGTGAGAGAGAGACAGAGTGGGAAAGCGCCCTCTAAGGAGGATGGCCATGCTGCAGTCCCTTCTCCTCCATTCTCCTCTTGGAGAATTTGGGCACATGCACACACACATCAGAGTGTTTTTCAAGTTTCTATGTCTAGAACTCAAACCACGGAGTTGACCACCATGCCTCTGGCTAGTCCCAGAGACACCAATGTTTTATTCCCACTCCCAGAAATTTATATTTACTTGGTCTGGGGAGGACAGCATTTTAAATTGTAGAGCCTCCACGTGATTCTAAGTGCAGATGAGAACTACTGAGCAGAGGTGATGCAGAGAATATATGTTGACGGCCTCTTATTCTTTTTTTTTTTGGAGAGATTTTTCACTGTAGGGCGTGTGCGCTCCCCAGACAGAGAGAGAGAGACATAGAGACAGAAAGCGAGAAATCACCCCCCAGGGGGGATGGTCACACCGCAATCCCTTCTCCTCCATTCTCCTCTCGGGATCTTGGGCACGCATGCACACGCGCCCGGCGTGAGTTTTAAGCCACTGGGTCTGGGACATGAACCGCGGTCGACTACGGGGGAGTCCAGCGACATAGCCATTACACTAACTGCTGGTTCCCACGGCCTCTTATTCTTTATCCCCATACAGGATACATTCAGCCCAAACTGAAACTCCAGAGATCTGCCTCTCTGCTCTACTCTAAGGTGATCCTTTGAATATACAAAGATTTCATTCTTCTTACTTTTCAGAATGTTCACCTCCTTTTTGAGTATCTGGATTCAGTCCTCCACCAGGATTACTACAGCTTTTCGCAGTTCACCAAAGCTTTGTTCTCTTTCTTTTTTTTCTTAAACATTTTATTTAATATTATTATTATTGTTTTAATTTCAAAAGAAATTTAGAGAGATTTTGCTATAGGGTACATGTACTTGCTGGAGAGACATAGAGACAGAAAGTGAGAAATCAGCCCCCAGGGAGATGACCATGCCGCAGTCCCTCCTCTATTGTCCTTTCAGGAGTTTGGGCACACATGTACATGCACCCAGTGTGAGTATCTTTAAGCAGCTGGGTCTGGGACTCAAACCATAGTTGACAACTTGGGACTCCAGTGATGTAATCATTATGTCATCTGCTGGTCCTAATATTATTCTTTTTAAAATTTGCTATAGGGCACACATGCTCACGAGAGAGAGAGAGAGAGAGCGAGCGAGAAAGCGAACTGCCAGGTCTGGGACTCGAACTACACTTGGCCACATGGGAATCTAGTGCCTTAACCACCATGCCACCTGCAGCACCAACTCCCCCTTTGCTCTCTTTCTAGTGTGACAGTCAGGAGATGCACCAATACTAGGAGCATCAGTGTCTTTGTCAGTCTCTGAGAGGTGATTCTCCAGTGCCACATGTAGAGCAGCCAGTCCCACGTATTAAAGGTGCTGGAAGTCTGACGACAGCCTCAGAAGCCAATGGGATATTCACAAGAATGATATTTCATTGCCAGAGGCAGCCACTCTCAGAATCTTGTCTGGCTCTTGCAGAGCTGAGATGTGGGGGCTCTGTGAGATGGCTATTGCTCTCTCTCTCTCTCTCTTTTTTTTTCCTTAAAGACAATTCTTGTACATACTTCACTATGGCATTCAAGACTGCCTTCTGGCAGGAATCTTGTAAGGTACAATTTCAGGTTGAATACTTGTAATGAGATATATCAAGATCAACAGAAAAAATCTAGCAGTTTTGGTCAACTAGGGACCTACAGAGTCTAAAAAGACCTCAAACTACTTATTCATAAAGATAGAGCAAAGTAAAGTATGGCACTCTTTATCTTTTTATTTTTATTTTTAGTTTTTGCTATAGCGTGTGTGCACTCACTGGACAGAAACACGGAGATAGAGGGAAAGTGAGAATTAACACCCCCAAGGGATGCTGCAATCTCCCTTCTCCTCCATGCTCCTCTTGGGACCTTGGGCGTGCACACATATACACCCAGCTTGTTTTTCAAGCTGCTGGGCCCAGGATTTGAACCACATATTTGGCCATGTGGGATGCAGCAACCTTAACCATGCCACTAGCTGGCCTCAGTGGCATTCTTTAAAATAGCCAATAAATACTTTGAGAATTTCTCAAAATTCACACATTACAAAAAGCAGAGAATACTTGGGAACCAGCAGCTAGCGTAATGGCTATGTCGCTGGACTCCCACATAGTTGACCGCGGTTCGCGTCCTGGACCCGGTGGCTTAAAACTCACGCCGGGCACGTGTGTGTGCGTGCCCAAGATCCCGAGAGGAGAATGGAGAAGAAGGGATTGCTGTGTGATCATCCCCTCTGGGGGGTGATTTCTCGCTTTCTGTGTTGTTGGGGGAGTGCAACCGCCCCAAAAAAAAAACCCCCAAAAAAAAAAAAAAAAAAAAAAGCAGAGAATACTTTACCTTAAAAAAAAATTAAAATTAGGGACCAGCAGTTAATGTAATGGCTATGTCACTGGACTCCCATGTAATGTAATTGCCTGCGGTTTGAGTCCCGGATCTGGTGGCTTAAACTCACGCTGGGCGTGTGTGCATGCATGCCTAAGATCCCAAGAGGAGAATGGAAGAGAGGGGATTGCGGCGTGGCCATCCTCCCTGGGGGGTGATTTCTCACTTGCGGTCTCTGTCTTTCTGGTGAGTGTATGCGCCCTAAAGCAAAAACCTCTCAAAAATTTTTTTTAAATAAAAAAACAATTAAAAGACAGTGAGACAGAGAGAGAAATGAAGAGGAGACAAGGAGCACTACCCACTAGAAATGAGTGTGGAGGGGGAAGTCTCAGCAGAAAATCTTCATTTTAAGTCCCTGAAAGCAATATTTCACAGCTGAAGTTCAGGATCCATGTGACGACACCTTCCCTTTTTTTAGTTCTTGAGTTACATCAGGGGAGATTGTTGGCAACACACACCCAGTGAGGTCCTTCACACCTCCTTTCTCAGGTAATACTTTTTTTTTTTTTTTTTGGCTATAGGCCACGTGCACTCACCAGAGAGGGACAGACAAAGAGGGGGAGAGAGAGGAAAAATGAGAAATCACACTCTAGGGAGGATAGCCACCACATTTTCCTCTCCTCTCCATGGTCCTTCTCCTCCAAACCACTGCGCCACCTGCTGGCCCCTCAGGAAACACTTTATCACTGCAATGATTTGCCCAGTAACCCACCTTTACACCTCACCATGATAGTGTTCATCTCCACGAAGGCAGGAACCGGCTCTGTCTTGTTTACCATTCCAATTTCAATGCCCAGTGACTGGCATATAGCATATACTCGACAAGTACTTGCTAAATGAATAAAAGGGATCTGGTATTTGCTTTCCTATTTAAAAAAATGCTTTAACTTTTTATTTCAAATCAATTTTAGACTTATAGGAAAGTGAGAAAGAAATACAGCGTTCCTGTATACCATTTGCCTGCTTGCCCTAAGGTTAATATTTTACATGACCATGACCAAAACCAGGAAATTAACATTGGTACAATTCTATTACCTTGAATTATTTACATTTCACTAGTTTTTCCACTACTGTTTTTCTCTGATCCAGAATCTCACATTACACTTAGCTGTTACTTTTTTTCTGAGTCTCCTCTAATCTCTAATAGTTCCTTTTTTAAAAAATTATTTTATTGATCTTTATTCATTTATTTATTTATTTTAATTTGACCACAGAGGGACAGAGTGAGAGAGAAAGGGAGAAAGTGAGAAGGCAAGCCACCAGGTTCGGGCCTTGAACCATAGTCGGCCATGTGAGTGTCCAGTGTCCTTAACCACCATGCCACCTGCCGGCCCCTCTAATAGTTCCTTAAAATGTCTTTCAAAAATCTGACACGCTTTTTTTTAAGATTTACAAATATTTGACAGGGCCAGATATACAGAGGCAACACAACTGTACCTCCATGCAAAAGGTCCTGGGTTCATATCCTAGGGCCCCAGTGAGTGTGCCAGGTGTTTACGGAAGTGGCTGTGACCCAGGCTGGCTGAGACTGGGAGTGGAATGCTGTATGAGGAACCGACTGGAAGTGTCAATCCGGACCTGCACCTCTCTCTCATGGAATAAATACTTGAATACACTTTTTAAAAAATTGGTGGCATCATACATACTTAATAGGCAAAAGCTGAGAAGTTACAGGTCACAGTACTGAGCGCTACCTCCCTGTTTGGGCCTAGCCTCTAGAGTTCATGCCTATCAATGGCATTTTGATTGTGCAGTAAGATGAAACTTTGTCATTATAATAGAGTGACAGTGCAACACAAGTATGTACCAAATAGCAAGGTAATGAAGTAAACTGCAACACTGTGTCACAATGCATGAGCAACTAACCATGAGTAACATTACTTTGTCTAATAAATGCCTCAGTTCTTATATACTCAATGATTTAAAGGGTCTATTATACATATAGTCTTTTTTAAAAGAATTATTTTATTTTATTTATTCATTTATATATTTTAATTTGAGAGAGGGAGAGAGGGAGGGAAAGTGAGAAAGCAAGCCACCAAGTATGGGACTCAAACCATAGTCAACCATGTGAGAGTGTCCAGCGCCTTAACCACCATGACACCTATTGGTCCCTATACATATAGTCTTAGTACATTTTGTACTACAGTTACCACAAATATACAATATAAGTATTTCAACAATAAAAAACTAAAACAATACAAGTTTCCAACTCCTTTTTGTCTGCTTATACTCTTAAAATTATTTAATTTTATTTATTATTTAAAAATTCACTATAGGGAACATGTGCTCACTAGAGAGCGAGCAAGAGAGAGAGAGAAAGTGAGAAAGCAAGCCACCAGGTCCAGGACTTGAACTGTGATTGGCCATGTGGGAGTCCAGCACCTTAACCACCACAACGCCTGCTGGTCCTGGCTGCTGATACCCTTAACTGTCACCTTAGTTGATACAGAAAAACTGCAATGGCATGTGTTAGTAGATAATATAAATGGTTTGGTCTTGGTTAACAAGAGCTATACTGTGGCTACAGTGAGATTATAATATGTAATCTGCTAAATAAAGATGAAAGCAACTGTGCTCATTTAATCAAGAACAGCCAAATAATAGAGGTGTATAGGATAAGGAATGGGGTGAGGTGGGCATATCCTTTCTGGGCACACCACTCTCTCAGCACTTCTTTTTTTTAAAAAAAGAATTATTTATTCATTTATTTAATTCCATTTGTCATCATTATTATTATTTTCTTTTGAGAGAGATTTTGCTATAGGGTGTGTATGCTCACCAGAGAAACAGAGAGACAGAAAGCAAGAAATCATCCCCCAGGGAGGATGGCCACGCCACAATCCCTTCTCCTCCATTCTCCTCTCAGGATCTTGGGCATGCATGCACACGCCCCCGGCGTGAGTTTAAGCCACCGGGTCCGGGACTCGAACTGCGGTCAACTATGTGGGAGTCCAGCGACATAGCCATTATGCTGACTACTGGTCCCTGCAGTGAAATCATTTAAAATCTACTCTCTGAGCAATTTTGAAATATGTAATACATTATTATTTATTATAATCACTATTCTATGCAAAAGGTCACTAAAGCTTATTCTTCCTAACTGAAATTGTGTATCCTTTCATCAGCATCTTCCCAACCTCCCACACCCTGAGCCTCTGCTTACCACCATTTTCCTCTCTATTTCTCTAAGTTGCTGTTTTTAGATTCCATACATTAACACTATAGACCAATGAAATCATGTAGTATTTTGTCTTTCTGTGCCGGGCTTATTTCACTTAGCAAAATATCTTCCAGTTTCATCCATATTGTTGCAAATGACAAAATTCGCTCCCTTTTAAAGACTGAGTAGTATTCCATTGTATATATGTACCACATATCTTTTTTAAAAAAGAATTGTTTTATTTAATTTTATTTATCATTGTTATTTATTTATTTTAATTTGAGCAGAGAGAGAGACACAGGAAGAGAGGGAAAATGAGAAAGCAAGCTGCCAGGTCCAGGACTTGAGCCACAGTCAGCCATGTGGGAGTCCAGCACCCCAACCACTATGCCATCTGCCGGCCCCTGTACCACATGTCTTTATCCTTTCATCTGATGATGGACACATAGGTTTGTTACCTCCATATCCTGGCTATTGTGATAATGCTTCAATGAACAGAGGAGTAAAAATACTTTTGTGACACCTTCAATTCCTTTGCATATATACCCAGAAGTGAGATTACTGCTCCACAGAGTTTCTATAACGGCTGTATTACTTTACATATCCACCAACAATGCAGAAGAGTTCCCCTTTTTTTCACATCTTCATCAACACATGTTATCTTGAGAATGGACATCCTGATAGGTGTAATACTTGTTATGGTTTTAATTTGCAGTTCCCTGATGATTAGTGAGGGTAAGCAGTTTTCCACTTATCTGCTGGCCACTTTCTGTCTCTGTCTTTCTGGCGAGTGCATGCGCCCTATAGCAAAAACCTCTCCAAAAAAAGAAATATGTATTTAGGGGCCAGCAGGTGATGTGTGGTGGTTAGGGTGTTGCTCCCACATGGCTATCTGTGGTTTGAGTCCTGGACCTGGTCTCTTGCTTTCTCTCTCTGGTCAAGTTTAATAATAAGAAGAAGAAAGAAGGAAGAAGAAGAAATAAGAAATATGTATTTAGGCCGTTTGCTCATTTTTAAACTGGATTTTTTTTCTTGCTATTGAACTGAGTTCCTTATATATTTGGGGTATTGTCCCTTTTAAGATGTATATTTGCAAACATTTTCTCCCAATCTATGGGTTCTCTCTTCACTCTATTAATTATTTCCTTTGCTGTGCAGAAGCTTTTCAACTTGATGCAATCTGATTTGTTTATTGTTGCTTTTGCTGTCTGTACTTTTTGGGGTCATATCCAATACATCTTTGTGCAGACAAAAATCATGAAGCATTTCCCATGTTTTAGTAGTTTTATAGTTTCAGGTCTTATGTGTAAGTCTTTAATCAAAAAAAATTTTTTTTTTCAGCACTACTGATTAACTCAATTTCGACTCATCTCTCCTCAGGTGAGGGGGTGGGGCTTAACGTTCTAATCCTCTGACCAAGGTTCTTTTGGCAATCAGCTCCCATCTGAAGTTAAGTAGGGACTGTAAACCACCAGTCATCTTATTAAAATAAACTAAGACCTGGAAAGAGTTTGTTATGAATAACAAAAGACATTCCTATCATCCCTATCACTCAATAAATTACAAGGGTTTTAGCAGCTCTGTGCCAAGAACTGGAAATGAAGACCAAACATATATCTAGTATATTACAACCACAGATGTGATCATATATTAAGAGTTTATGATATTGATGTCTTATTCATAGAAACGTTAACCTTTATTACTTGGTTAAGGTGTTGTCTATGTTAGCATCTTTCCTTTATAGTTAAAAAGTATCCTGGAGGGCGCCAGCAGGTGGCACTGGATCACATATGGCCAACTGTGCAGTTTGAGTTCCAGATCTAGCAGCCTGAAAAATCACATCGGGCCTGTGTGAGTGCATGCCCAAAATCCAGAGAGGAGACTGGAGCAGAGACTGAGGCCATCCCCCTTAGGGAGAGATTTCTCACTTTCTCTCTGCCTGGAGCGTGCACGTTCCCCATATCAGGAAAAATAAAGTATCCTGAAGTGCCAGCCAAAGTGTGATGATCAAGGCAGCTGAATCCCTTAGGACTGACTGAGCAGTTCCAGTCCCTGACCTGGTAGCTTGAAAATACGATGGGCAAGTGCATGTACATGCCCAAAATCCCAAAAGGAGAATGGAGGAGAGGGAATTGTGCTGTGGCCATCTTTCCAGGTGAGTGCTTTTTATTTTCCTTCTTTCTCTCTTGGATGAGCACATATGACTAATAGCAAATTGGAAAAACAAAAACAAAACAAAACAAAAAACAAGTATCCTGGAGAAGATACTTTTTTTTTGGGGGGGGGAGGTTTTTTTGCTATAGGGCGCGTGCACTCGCCAGACAGACAGAGAGAGAGAGACAGAAAGCAATAAGGCAACCCCAGGAGGGATGGCCACGCTGTAATCCTTTCTCCTCCATTCTCCTCTCGGGATCTTGGGCACGCATGCACACACGCCCAGCGTGAGTTTTAAGCCACCGGGTACGGGACACGAACCGTGGTTGACTACATGGGAGTCCAGCAACATAACCATTATGCTAACTGCTGGTCCCTGGAGAAGATACATTTAAGGCTACACAAAATCCTGCTTCTCAAACCCACTAATTTTACCATGTTTGGCGTGATTAGTTTTATGTGTCAACTCTACTGGACAATGGAATACCCCTGTGAGAAACTCATTTACTAACTTGATGACAGGATTTATGTAGAATTATTTTTGTCTTTAGCCATATAGTATCCAATTAAGATACATTTCCCAAAGTTATTTCAGTTAGTTCTTTTTTCTCCCTCTCCTTCAGTGTG